TTAATTTCATTTTAGTCAAATTAACGATACATTGAGTATATAGGATCAGTAGTAGCAGCTACCCTACCTATGGAAATTAAAAAAACTCAAATTAGGTATAATTTCACATTATGTTAATTTGCATTAACAATGTATAACAAGACCGCTCTTTTTAATGTTGATATTTCAATGCAAAGTATAACATCAATTTCTTGTATGACCGAATAACTCTTTGCGAGCACCCCGCGGAATTTTTCCGACTGCCGCTGACCTTGGTCTCCGCTATATAAGTGGGTGACCTTCTGACCTAATCGCCGCTAATTTCATTTGTTTAGAAACTTGCCGTCACGGGTACGAAACCGCGGCATCGTCGCGCGTCCGTTCGCTCGCTCGCTCGCATTTTTACGCGCCGTAGCATCGGAGAGCTCGCCCGCTTGTCTGTCGCGCTCCAAATACCTGTTCGGCTCTACCCACCTGCCGTGATTATGGCTCGTGGCGTCCCACGTAAATCTAGCCGCGGCTCGCGAGGGGGAAACCTCGTGCTACCGTCGTGAGAATCCATTTTTCCGCCAATTGCACTCTCCTCCTTCCGGCTGTCCTCGATCAGAACCCTGCGTACAAGAAATTGCAACCTGCTTCTTTTTTATTATTAACATCTTTCACCGGCGGGAAAGAAGGACATCTGCTGTATATATCTTCTATCCCAAGTGGCGTAAAAATCAATATACTGATGTATGCGTTACTATTTTTTAACTACTATACTTTTTAATATTATTTTTACTCTCTTTCCCCCCCCCCTCTCTCTCTCTCTCTCTTATAATAAAAAAAAATATATGAATCAATTTTTTTTATTAAAAAACTTTTAAACCATACAGATGATGTTTTAGAAAAATTCTGAGACATTCTTCAAAATTCCGATACTAAACGTCAATTACGTATTATAACTTCAATAAGGAATGTAATCTCTTATTATTATAATGAATACATCTCCACGGTATCGAGATGCTAAAATATTATAAAAAATATTGAAAAATATTGAGTAAGGATCTTTTAACAATTTGATAAAAAATAAGACAGATATTTAAGTAATAATTTTCATATATGTATATAAATATATATTCCGTTATAAATATACAAAAATATCTACATTATTAGATAATTACAAAACAGAGATCCACGTCGATTTTCAATCGTGGAAAATGAATCGCACACACACAAAGGACAAATCAAGAATGCATATATTGCGTAAGAGATAAATAACGACTCCATGGGATAAATGACAGTACCGATCGCCGTCTCATTAACGATCTAGCCAAGATATCTCGATCGTTACGGATCATCGATTTCGCGTGTACTCACGGAGCTATTCACGCGACATCACAGAGATGCGGTTGATCATTGCAGAGTCGAGGATTGCGCGGTGCTCGTTTTGCAGAAATAATCGTGTTGGCGGTAGCGAGCGATATGAATGAACGAACGCGAAACTACATGCGTCGCGAACGACAGCTCGCGCGAGACTGCCGGTCCCCCGATGACGACGCATCGTCTTTGGCATTCGGCTTGGATGGGCAAAGTAGACGGATGAATGGGTAAATGGATAGATGGATCGATGGGCAGACGCTGCGAGGCGTGTAAAACGCGCGTAGACATGATTTTTGTACCTTTAAATCACACCGAGATTAGATTCGATTAAGCTCCGAATGAGCTTCCCTCGATGCCTCTAAAATAATTTATGAAATATCGTGATCCATAACAATGATTATATATGTATATATATTCAACAAAAAAAACAGCTTTGCAACTGTAGAGATTCTTCAATTGGTTTATATATTTATAAGTAGAGAGAGTATAAAGTAGAGAGGTATAAAGAGAAAGAGAGAGAGAGAGAAAATGAATAAATGACTCTATTAGTTTCCTCTCAGCTACTTCAAAATACAGCTTATGTATTAAAGAATCTTATAACAGTTGCAAAACTGCTTTTTCTAATCTACACAGTCACTGACTTTTCTTCACATTTGAATTTTTTATCTTTTTTATTTGTACCAATTCTGTTGTCTCGTTAACGCATATGTTCGTTAACATATGTAATACGTTATATTAGGCTGATAATCATTATGAAGAACGATTAATTTACCTGTCACAAATTACAGTAAAATAGTTAAATGTCTCATGCAATTTTCAAGAAAATTCCTGACACAATGTCAAATTATCATGTTCTTTTATTTGTTTTTCTCCTTAATTCTCGACCAGTTCGCGTGCTTATCTTCTAAAGCACGTATATGATGATTTAATTGAGCTAATGGCACGTAAATGAAAAACATGCGTGAAGCGTTCGTTCATCAATTACGTTCTTCCTAAAGTGTAATCAGACCTTCGTGGGTTGTATGATGTAATGCGCATTTCTGGACGAGACCGTGACATTGCATAACATATTAAATGTGATACGCAAGTAGCGCGAGTTATCGATGTACTAGATATAATAACACACATATACTGATACATACTGTCGTCTCATCATAATTAGTTTCTTATGAGCAGTTATCATACGTATCTACATATATTAATGTTCACATATAATTTTTATACAACGCAGCTCGTCGATAAAACAAGAAAATAATTGATCTACTCTCTGATCAAAATTAATTCGAGTTTATTTAAAATTAATATTATACATAAATCAAATTATTTTACTGAATAATCTCTGTTTATAAATGTTAGAAAACCAATTTAAATTTTAATAACCGACTTTTCTACCAATTTGTAATCGATTTTTTTACTTTAATTTAAAATATCGATGCAATATTTAACGAAATCTCAACGTTAATTTAAAAAAAGTAATCTTGTGTGTGTGATTGCATAAAAATTTTAATTTTAAGTAATATAAACTACATATGTACAAGGACTCTTAGAATTCAATAAAGTTGTAACGAAACGAGGAGACTATGGGAATTAAGCACGCAGATTAAATAATGTTATAAAATGTCAAACTTAACTAATTAGTCTATTAAGAATTTTACAATATTCTATTCGGCTTTAAAATTCAAGCGCCTTTATCAGCGATAAAAAAACAGAGGTTAAAACGTCGAAAATTGTATGTCGTATTGAATTTCAAGTTTGAAGATCAAGACGTTCAATGTCGAGCGGAAAATGTGCCTCGGGAGAAAAGTCGATTACAAAACGGTCGACAAATAGATACACGTACAAGTTCAAGTCCACTGCCGCAATAACATCCCGTGTCTACATAAATTTTCTCTTTTCCGCTTTGCCAAGGAGAACATTGCCAACTCGCTGCTCGAAACGTTGGAAAAGTACACTAGAGGTCGAAATTACCGAACATTTGAAGATTCATCCATTTTTATTTGTACTTGCTACAAGATGTTGAAATTGACGATTCGTGTGAAAATTAGAACATGTACACGGAAAAGGACAAGGTAGAAGAGAGGAGACAAAGGGAGCGTTTTGATATTGACGATTCGTGTGAAAATTAGAACATGTACACGGAAAAGGACAAGGTAGAAGAGAGGAGACGTTTTGGAATGGAATACGCATTTCGTCACACCAGCGTGTGCATCACCGCGTATACGACTATAAGTATACGTCGTCGTAAATGCAATCGTCCAAGAGGAATCGAGATAGAAGCAGAAGGAAGGAGAAGAGGAAAGGAGAAGGCAACCGGAGAGGGAGACGAGGAGCGCCTCGAGTACGTCGTCGTCAACGCGTCGCGAGAGACCTTGGAGCTGGCCGAAGAGCGTTACCATTTTCGCGGGGCGTAGTAGCGGATTGACGCAGGTGTGGACCGATCACGCGGTGCCATAGGCCACGCAGAGAGTAGGTACACGGCGTATAGGGTGGGGCACGAAAGGGCGCGGGCGTTTTTGCACGGGGTGATAAAAAAGAGACCGAAGGTGTGGACAGAGTACGATCGTACGAATTAACCTCGAGCTGACGAATTGTGAAAAAGATTTGTCATGATTTCATCGTGACAGTTGATTAAATATTGATTTGCATCGTTAACTATTTAACGCTAAATGTCCGCATGCAGATCCGATCCTCTGACGTCCTTTAAACACCACAGAAATTTCTATTTTTTCTAGAACGATATACGTTTATTGACGACAAAACTGTGATTTTCTCTCTCTCTCTCTCTCTCTCTCTCAAGTTCTTCAACTAATTAACAATGGTCCTTTGCGGATGTTGCACAAGTATATCACTATTAACAAAGGTAAGGAGACTGCACAACGTTTGCCATCACCTTTATGTTATTTTGTTATTAGAAAAGAAATCTTTTTTCTTAGAGGAAGAATGACTATTTAAAAAATTTTGTAACTTTTCCTTGAATAAAATTTATTATAATTTATTATGTCATTTTTTATGCCAACTATATATTTAGTAGAATTATAAATATTATTATTATTATTATATTCAGTTGAATCAACTAATCTCTGATTTGCGGAGATGGGCAATCAAATTATCACACAGTTTAATTTAGTTGAAACAAAAAGTTCGGTTATATTATAACATTTTTATTTGTTTCTAACACAGTAAAATGTCACAATAACCAAATTCTTTGCTTCAATCAAATTGAATCGTAACCAGATCGCGCAGTGTAACATTATAACAGTAATAACTATATGTATAAATACAGTTCACAATCATAATAATTATTTTACAATTATCCTAAATATCAAACATTTTTCTCTCAGTGATAAAATATGTATCTTCTTTATTTCACGGATACAAGGGTCTTTACGCGAACGCGACATCTCTCTTTCCCATCAGATCTCGCAAACAAAAATTTACTGTCAACCACCCCCACTCGTTCTCGTCGCGTATTATGCGTCACCCTATATTACGCGTCTAGTTTTATGCCAAACTAGAGCGCGCCGTGCTAAAGATAGGTCGTTGCAGGCAGGAATCGGTGTGCATCCATTACCGGCGCAAGGAACAAGGGCGACCTTGGCCTTACGAGCTTATATAATGAGGAAGCGGCCGATTTGCGAGCTCAGTCGTTTCGACGCGATATTCAAGCCAGACAGAACGCATTTCTCTTTTTTCTCCTCGTATGATCTATATTGATTTCTATTCGAAACGTCATGTCATTAGAACTGCTCCTCGCGGTTTGTGCAACAAGAGAACAAATTGTACTGCCAAAGCATTACTAAAGCGTCTATCATTTTTCACGCCAACGCGAAAGTTTTTTTTTCTTTTTGCCTACCATCTCGAGCGTGAAAACTTAATTCAAGCTGGCTGGTCGTAAGTTAGCTTTAAATTTTTTTTCGCGCTTTTTCTCGTGAAATTAATTTTCGTTCTATTACGATCGAAGACCGCTCCATGAGCGTTGGAAACTTCCACGAGGTCGTTAGAGAAAATGCGAACGACACCGCTCGAGATGGTAGTCGTTCGATCGGAAAAATAAAAGTGCCATTAAAGGAGCGCGCGCGCTGCTGCAACTGATCGACTGACCGGCGCGGCGATCGCGGTGGGGATCTCTCTGCCGCGCCGTGGAAAATCAACGTCTCTTCTTGGCAGAAACAGAGGTAGCCCGTGGGTGGCAGCGGCGGCGACGCGACAGAGATCGCGAGGCTCTTCCGCTTTTTTGACAGATGCGTGTGTCAGTGCCGCGCGACGCATTGTAGTGCCCGTCGAGTGAGGTCAAGCATTGTTTACGACATTGTTTACACACGGTGTTCACCCGTTCGCGGTGAGTTACTTCGATACGTGATTGCAACGAGATTATACGCGGAATCCCGATTAGTGAATATTTTCGAAAACAAAATTTACTTCTTCTTTGTAATTAATTAATTCTTTTAATTGCGCATCAGATTGCTTCTCCTCTTGATCCAAGTAAACTGCAAATGCTTACGAAACTTTAGTAATTAACGTCATGTGTCAAGCTATACGGAGATAACCCGTAAAGCGCGTAACTTGTGTGTTTGAACTTTAATCCGATTTACTTTTTATATCTTTTTCTAATTTTAAAAATTAGAAAAAGATGAAGAATAAATTAAACTAAGAGATATATTAAAGTTAATCTACATTTATAGAAATGGAAACAATCTTTTACAAAAAAAAAAAAAGAAAAAAAAACACTTGAACGTAGAATCTCATATTTCAACCGAATTAGTCTTCTTTTCCAACACAATTGCACGACGTTGCGAGTTGTTTCGTAATCTGTATTCAATTGCATACCAACGCTGCTAAATAATATTGTATGTTGAAATTAGATGGAAGAAAGATTCGGTAGAGGGCTTGATGATTTCTCGCATTGAGCGCGCATCTGTTGAAAAGCAAACTTAATGCGACCTTGGATTTCTTTATTATGGTTATGGTCACGCGTACGAGATCGCATCTGCTACGCAGACTAAGCCCGTTAGATATGCAAAAAATCTATTTGACAGTTTGTTCCATGCAAACGACGTTACGTGAAGCTCGTTGGAGAAAATATCTTCGGTGGAGGATACCATAAAGTCGTATTACTTTGTGATGCCATCAAGCGTGCGGCAAATGCAGCAAAATTCCGACGAAACGAAAATTTGGCATTAACCATGCACTTAATGCATCAACACTTTAAGTCCGCGTTTATTCTCTGACCATGAGATCATCACAGAACTGACATAACTGGTGCGCGTAATAAAGCTATCGTACAATAATTTATTCGGTCGCGCAAACAATATTTCATACGATATTCTTTATTATTCTATAACGTATTTTAGAGATCGTGTCGAGATATTAATAATGTTTCGCATGTCTTTCTAGGGCTGAAGCGATTCTGCAGGTAAACTATAAAGTGAGCGGGTAAAATTACGCAATAATACCAACACCAAGGCGTAAGTAAAGGGATGTTCATTATTATGCTTCAAACCTGCTTCACACCTCGCTCTAAATACTGAATATTAATTAAATAATATAATAACAAATTAATACAGCCTAATTTATATAATATTATTAAATAATCCATAAAAAAAGTTTAGAAGCGTCTAAAACATAGCGAATTACATTCACATACATTTGTATTTAATTTATACACATTGGAACGGTTTTGCTAAAATATCGAAAAATTTAGGTATACACAAATATTGTAGATCCGAAAATAATTCTATCGTGGACCATCGAAATAATGAGCCGGTTACTGAAAAATGTAAAAACTTTGTAGTATTACGCTTGAGCGTTCTACATCATTATTTCGATAGCTTCCCCTCCTTTAACAAAATTATTTTCAGATAACTAAATTGTTTCGTACTTCACAATCGTTCTTTCCGTGTCTAATTTGACTGACATTTAATACAACGTCAATTTGTAACATTTTCTAACGTACTTATTTTATGTATATAGCACATATACACAGAGATTTAAATATACTGTAATTCAGAAAATAATGGTCGATTTAAAAGGCGTTTCTTTTTCCAGGTGACCCACTGGCACGGCGACCACGAGGAAGGATGGTCAATTCGATATTGCTTCTTTGGGCGTTGGTCGGCCTAATTGGCGGAGTGCACGGCAAATGCAGCTTAGCACCGATTGCCGACAACGATCGGTCGATCGCCTACGCGTGCATCCACGGTGATCTGAACGACCTCGACGAACTGTCCAGCGAGACTGAGTGGATCGAATTCTCAGTGTCGCGTTTCCAAACGATTCCCGATGACGCGTTCCACCGATTCCCGAATTTACGTCGCCTATCCTTTTACAATTGCCACGTAAATTTGATCGAACCCGCGGCGTTTCGCGGCCTGAATCGACTCGACTGGCTGATTTTCCACGGTACGAGGATCCACGCGGTGAGGTCCGCGTGGTTCCGCCACCTGCCGAATCTTAGACGATTGATCCTAGACAGGTATCGTTTTTCTCACGATCTAACGATTACGAATGTGACCAAATTACGGTAAATTTTTCGTTAAAAAAACGCTGTTTAAATAAAAAAATATCAAGAGAACGAAATTCAGTAATATAATACATGCAATTTTGTATGTAGCTTTTTCAACATCAGTTTCAACGGAAAATACGCCAGTTGTAAAAAATCATTAAAAGTGTATTATTATCAATTAAGAATCTTTTTTTATTTGACCCGTGGCAGTCAACGCCATATTAGTGATTCATACAAAATGTCATCGACAATATTGTTACAGCATCGCTGTATTCATAAAATTCGAGGGCATCGATAGACCGAGGCCATGTGCAGTAGCTTATGTAAAGCGTCCGGCAGCTTATACATTCGGTAATGTCGATGACCCAGTTATCCATTACAATCGTGATGTCATTCGGAATCCAAATATCAGATAATATTAAACTCGCGATTGAGAGAAATCTCAAAGCTAAGCTAAAGTGCCTAGTGGAAGTTTGCCTCGAAAGATCTACTATTCGAAGAGCTTTAAGAGCTTTTAATTCCATTAAAAGGATATTCCCAATTGCAATATGAAATTTTTAATTATTAGGATCTTTTTCGCCGCTGTCATTATGAATCAGAGAGCGCAAAATTCTCTATCTGTTAAAATGTGATAGTGAGTTCAGTCACTTATCGTATACATTACAGAAATATTTTAAACGACTAAATAATGATATTGTCACGTTATTTGACAGAATATACATTGTATTATTTCATTGAGAAATCAATTAATTTGTAATAGTTTTTTAATTCCAAAGTAAACAATATTTATATTAACTTGTTTAGTAAATAATCAGCTAAATGTAATACAAATAAATGTAAATAAAGGACTCTTAAACAACAAAATATAAGAAGAGGTAAAAGACATATAAAAGTACAATTGATTTTTTATATAAATTTTTAAATTTACAATGCGAATATATAACAATAAAATTATATTAATTTTAATACATTCACTTGACTTAAATTGTTTAATTCCATTGTTTCAGTTAAATTAACGACATATTTCAAGTAGCAGCAAGCAGTGACAATACTAACGATCTTTAAAAATAATTAAAAATAACTAAATATAGTAGAATTAAATGTAATTTGACATTATAAATTCAATACTGAAATTAATTATATCATACCATTGCATTTAAATATTTGATATAAAGAGAAAAAAATAGCGTTTAATGTGCATCTAATTCAATGTAGTGCGAGAGTGACCGAATTTCCCCCCCCTCTCTCTCTCGCCCCCTCTTCCTCTCCCGCTCCCTCCCTCTCTCTCTCGTTCTCTTTTATCCATTAGATAAATTATCACGTAATTTATTGAAAAAGGTGAAATAACTAATCCTTAATATTTTTGCGCTATTTTTCCAGTTTTCGAACTTCGAGATCTCGAAAGAGAACTCTTATAACTCTAATTCTCGTGATCTCCCAAGTTCGAAAACTAATTGAAAATAAACGAAACAGCAACATACTTATGACAACAACCAGACTTTGTACATCTGGTTATCTCGAAACTACAATTCTAATAGATTTAACCAGAAAACTTAGATTTCAACTTGATTTTTCACTGCAGAATTCTAATTCATCAGATTCTTCTTGCAGTGCACAACACACAATAATGAAGTATACGACTCTTGTTTCTTCTCTCAGATGCGGCCTGGTGCACGTCGAGCCTGACGTTTTTCGCATGTTACCGCGACTGGAGACCCTGGACTTGCGCGACAATGACCTCGATTGTCTGTCGGTGGAGGAGCTGTCACATCTGACCGCGCTCAGGACCGTGCGCATCGACGGCAACCCATGGTTGTGCGAGTGCCGGTTAAGAATGGAGAGATTCTTTCGCGAGAGATCGATCATCCAAGAGATTGAATGTAAATTTCGGTCCAAGATCTGCATCGTGCATCGAAATCCGCAGTGCATGACACAGATCGAAATCCCGCTTCCACCTCCGACAATAACCATCGAGCAGATAGAAAATTTCGAGGTAAATCAGTCGTTTATAATTTAACAATGAGAGAGAGAGAGATGTAACACAGCTTAAATTTTTATCCTATTTATTTTTGTTCATTCTTACTAATGTATACAGCCTTTTGGGCCTAGGTAGGAAAGCATCTCCATTTTTATCACATTTGTTGCGTTTTTTATTAATAATGTGACTTATATTTATTTCTTACAAAAAGTAGATTATCTTTAAAATCTCGGTTTAATTATTTATCTTTTCCTAATTAAAAACAATTATTTTCCAAGAAAATGTAATGAATTGAGGATGCTTTATACTTATGGTCAAGACTGTAATTTTATATTGGTAAAAAAAAGATAAAAAGTAAGTTAAACTGAAATTAAAATTAATTTACATTGTGGTCATCAGACAAATTCGAAATGAATTTGAGAGATGTTTGTAAGGGAGTAATTATTAGCTTCTCTTAAACGTATTGTCCGTGTTCGTTTCGCAATCTTATGAAATAAGCTGCAGCCACACATCGAGTATATCAATATATATCTACCGATCGACAGTAAGGCAATAAGGCTCGAGTCGAACTATACCTATTGTTTTTTTTTTCTTTTTTTTCGCGTTTCAGGGAGCCTAAGCGCGATCTTAGGCTAAAGCAGAACCGTCTCGATCATATAACGTAAATTACGTATATCTGATAATATCGCACAATGTACCTTGCAGGCGTCTCACTACTATACGATTTCTATATCGTCTAAAAAATCTTGCCTTATCGAACGGGATGAAAGTGGAAAGCTAACGTTAGTTCTTCGCGCATGATGACTAATTAAGAATTTAATTGCGCGTCTAACGACCGTATAATGTCGTTGCTCTCGATGTATTTATTCTCTTTCATATTATCACATATGAAAGAAGGTAGTAAATATCTAGATATAATTTAACACGAACATCATACCATAAACGGGGGTAAAATGCGGATGGTACAATATATTTCATTTGAAATAATTAGATTTATTTGTAGCGCGGAAAATCAGACGTTATAAAAAATTTATATTCTTCGTATAATCATAATAAATTAATTGTACAATTTCAATTCCCGTTTTCTTTAGTCGGTTATTTGATCGATTTCATCCATCATTTAAAAAATCCCAAATCACCAATCGTTGTAATCGCAATCTTGGCAATTTCGAGGAATATTATTATATAAAGATAAAAATAAACATTTTCGCCTAGTGTAGCACAATCTACAGAAAATCTTACACTCATCTTAACTTTCCGGAGTTGACGATGGACACCTATTGTGAACCCACTCAATTATTTTCTCTATGTTACATTTTGTAAATTTGAATAATTGATATTAAATTAAATTTATACACACACACACATTTTTTTATACGTATAAAAGTTACGTCATTTTGTAGAACTGATCTTCTACAGAAGGCATGTCCAATTTCAGCTTCCAAGGGTAAAATGGGGCTCACAGGGGCTCACTCTTTCTTGACAGTCTCGAAAATCTTATCGAATTTTTGTTCAGCGCCTTGCATTTTGGCTCCGGAACTAAAGTTGGACATACCTCTTCCACAGTATTCGAACTCGTCGAAATTTCCGTTGTTGTGTTTGTTCAACATCCGTTCACCGGGAAAATAATTGAATAAACAAACAAACTCACCATATCGGAGCACGGAGTCTTGTTCTCGATAGCGCCACGAGCAACCCTCGCATGTTGTCCGAGCGCGTCCCCTCGGGTGCCGTAGTCTCCCTTCGACGGCTGCTTCCGGGTTCCGGCGACGACACTCGGCCGACTCGGCGTCGCCTCGCGACCGCCAAAAATCGCGCGTGGCATGTAAACGACACACAAGCGGAAAAACGTCCGTTGTCATCGAACCTGGACGTCACGACGCGTGCACAGGTCCGCTCCGGCGAAAACCGCTGAAAACCGCGCGCGACACAGCGCGACATATGGCGGACGGACGCGCGAATCACGTGACCCGCGCGACGCGATTGTTCGCCTTCCGCTCGGGGGCGGTTACCAGTCGACACGCAATCCTCAAGAGCGATCGGACGTAGAGCGTCCCTTTGTTGACGTATGCTCGATACGCGAGTCACAGGTGTACTAGAAACAACTCTCCAGTCTGACACTCAACCGACGACGTGACATCTCGATTACACGACTCTCAGCTCAAGTGAAGTTCGCGCGAGTCGGGTCACGTGGCTGTCGAGGCTAGCTTGCCCTGATTGGCCCGTGGGATTGACGAAAAATCGCGCGCGTTACACAATCGATGCGCGCGGCCGATACGTAGGAAGCAAAGATTACGCGATATCATTGATGTAATTAGTGTGATTAATTTGGTTCCGTCACCAGGTCCTTGTTGATAATCATGTGGACGAATCACGAGGAAAAGCGAAACTCCAGTTTCGATTGACTATATAGATGATGATAACCGAAAACAAAACGTGAAAAATAAACAATTTTTCCATTACCTTCAATGATAAAAAAATGTCACTTTTTACGTTTTTCTGTCTCTTGTTTAAGTCAACGGCACACAATGTATGTATATTTTCTTGCTTGCATTTTAATAAATTATTAGAAATTATGCGTTGTATAATTCTATCTATATAATTTATCGCAGAGCGCGAGTAATTCAGCAAGAAAACGTGCCGCTGGCTTTAGACAGTTTAACTCGCTCTACACGATAGGTATAGGAATTGTCTTTTGCTGTGAGATCTGTTCTTTAGTCCGGATCTACAATAGAGTTAACCACAAGAAATGGACGAATCATAGTCGATTATTCTCCTCGAATTCGACTGTAATTGGTTAATTTCTTACAGCCTAAGGCTTAAAACACGTATTGTAGATCCGGGGTTACAGTCAATTGTTGTTTTCGACTGTGATTGGACAATTTCTTAAGATTTAAGGCTTACTACTACGCTATTGTATTTGTGGACTTATCCACATAACTTTTTTGCACGAGAAGTTTTTTTTTTTTTTTTTTTATTTTTCCGTAATAAACTTTAAGTGAACAACTCAAGCATTTCGTCTCAATAATCTCAAGTAACTTTTCCTGAACGGAAAAGTCACTGCAGATAAACTGCAATGTCATATATATATTTTGAGAGAAGAGGTACAATGAACTATGTAAGAAAATGATTAATAAATTATAACAAAAATCTTATTCAGAAGAGCTATAAAATTAAAAAAAATAGACCTCCGCTGTCTAAAGTTTAAAGCTCAGAATAAATTAGTCGACATTATCGGAGCAATCGGAGTAAAAGAGGCTTGCTATTGTAAATTGGAATTTCAATGTAGAGCATCTTAATCACAGTTCAACTTGCTGTCCATCTTTTTCTTAGGCTTGTTAATGTAGCGATTCTTACTCGTCGATCTTCCTTTAATTCGTAGAAAGAGAGTTAATTGAATGAAGGATAAAAATTAAACTGCGCAGGTAGAAACGGGTATTAGAGAAAAGTTAGATGATTGCGAGCACGAGCGAGTCCACTCACCTCTGTCGCGACGATTAGTCGCGCGCGCGTCTTCCAGAGAGATATAATCTAATCTCGCTCGCTCGTTGCCAGCAGGAACGTCCCGGCAACCGCTTCCAGACAAGCGCGCTGACGTCCCTGGACCGTCTGCCGGACAGGACAACGTGGATCGAGATCACGGGTCTGTGGATCGACCGTTTGCCCGCGTACGCGTTCTTTCGTTTCGGCAACAGCCTGCGCAGTCTGGATTTGCGCGATTGCTCGATCGGCGCGATCGAGCCGGGTGCGTTCGCCGGTCTGCATCAGCTGCAACGGCTCACGCTCGTCGGCAACCGGCTGCCCGCGGTCGCCGGCCATTGGTTCGCTGATCTCGTTGCGCTCCGCCACGTGGTGCTCGCGCGCAACGGCATCGAGCGCATTGAATCCGGTGCTCTGCGTCCGCTCGCCGGCAACCTGCGCCACCTGGATCTGCGCTACAATCGACTACGTTGCCTACCGTTGGACGAGTTGGCGCATCTGAGGCACCTCGAACGACTCGACATCATCGGGAACCCGTGGTACTGCGAGTGCCGCAGGAATCTGCAGAAATACCTGACAGACCGTAACGTTGGATTTGAGATCACCGCTGGTCGCTGTTACGAGGAGAACCAAGTTATTGAGCCGACCGACGGATGGCAACATCCGCATGTAAGTGAACCGCAGGCGGGATATTTCAAAGAAAACATTCTCTTTATTATTCTACCCTCCGACACGTTCGGAAAAAAATATATATTATTCGAGTAGCTTTTCTTGTTGAATATTTTTATGATAAACAAGTCTCGAATAGTGTTTCCATTGTTTTTACGTGCTGTTTATTACGCGCTCTCAAACGCACTCTTTATGAAATACAATATTTTAGATTTGCTCCAACGTATTCCTACTCACTTCGCAATGCGCTCGTAGAGTGAGTAGGATCAGCCATAGATATACAGCGGAACATGTTGGAGCATACGACGCTAACAAAAGCTCTTTGTCGATTATTCGGTTTCTCAAGTAAAAGAGATATTGTAATTTATGTAATTTTTATTTATGTAAAGTTTCTTCAAAATTTCTATAATTAATTTTCTCTAATTTATTATTTTTTCAAGTACTAAAAGAAAGAGTCTAAACAAATTTTTTCCAAATTTCTTTGTTAGTTAGATTCTAAAAGATTTCAACATTTCTGAGACTTTTTATTCTATAATTTCTAAAGGTAATAATAATTGTTAAAAATATTGTAAGATATGCAGGTATGACGTTTCACAAATCCTATACAGGATCTCCAAATTCCTACGCATGTGTGTATCATCTACTGTAATCTCTTTTTAGGTAACGACTTCGGTTACCGGTCATGTGCATTGGACCACTTTTGATGACACTCTGAGCCAGAGAAACATCACCGTAATAAGACCGATCGTTCAAGTTCCCACAGAGAGACCAGCGGTTCACAGAGGTACTTGTGTGCGAGACAGGACTCAAATGTCACGGCAGGTTTTCACCTGTAGCGGCATCACCTCGCTCACCGAGCTAGATGTCTTACCTCACTCGGTTCACGCCATTCGTATCGTCCTTTCAAATCTGAAGACGATCCCAACGCGAGCGTTTGCCCGTTTCGACGGCTGGCTATCCCAGCTGGAATTACGCGACTCCAATATTGAGACGATCGAGCACCGCGCCTTCGTCGACCTGTATAATCTGGAACGTTTGTCACTGCACAGTAATCAGTTGAATTCGGTGACAGCCGAGGCATTGGAAGGCCTGACGACTCTGCGACATCTGGACCTTTCGCGCAATCACATCTATCGGATTCCCAACGAGGTCTTCGACATCCTGCCACAGCTCCACATTCTTGATATATCCGAAAATTACATGAATTGCCTCGGCGTGGAACATATGGCGCGCAAGATGCCGCATCTGTATTCTCTCAAAATATCGGGCAACCCATGGAGTTGCTTATGCGGCACCAAGCTGGTCAGTTTTCTAGACTCCCGCAAAATACCGTATAATCGCGACTCCCTATTCGACGTGAACGATGACTGTTATGTCACCGTATTGCCTCCGTCGTCGACGTCAGCGACTACTTACGCTCCATCGCGGACTACCACAACCGAACCACCCTCGATAGGCTTCTACAACGAGACCTTAGAAGGTTCCTGCTTTAAAATTCCCGAGTCCACGGAACCACGATATCGTTGCGTGGGTGGCAATCTAATATTGCTGAAAAACGTACCACACAATGCTGTTTACATCGAATTCCACGAGGGTCATTTGCCCATCCTCCCAGTCAATGCTCTCTACAATTTTCGAAACTTGCAGGAGCTAATCATCAGGAACTGCGGTCTGAGAACTATCTCGCCCGGCGCTTTCAGGGGTCTGGACTCCCTAGAACGACTCACCATTCAGGGTAATCCACTGACGTCGATTGAGGCAAACTGGTTCAACATAGAACGTCTCGAACGGCTAGATCTGCGCGGTAATTCAATTCGGTACATCGCACCGGGTGCCTTCCGCTATCTGCGCAGACTGGTCTACCTGAATCTCGAAGGTAACGATCTGCAGTGTATCTACACCAGTGATTTTCAGGATATGCCAAATTTGCACATCGTCGAATTTACCGGCAACCCGCTCAAGTGGCGTTGTCGCATGGATCTGGAACAGTTCCTCGAGGCACAGAAGATTAAGTTCGTCAAAGTGGAAAATTCGTGCGAGGGCAAGAAGATCATGAGGAATCTTCTTTACCAGAATCGGACCGTCGAACTGGAGTGTCCACCGGGCTGCTCGATGGCGAGCAATATCGAGCTGGAAAAGTGCTCGACGTTGGCATTTGTATTGTTCTTCGCGATACGAATGTATTATTAGTCGTTCGGCAAATAAGAACAAAAGTAAGGCCAGAGTTAAGGTACTCAAAGACCTTGTCTTATCAATGAGTGAAACAGTTTTTGAGAGGTTCGGTCATTATCGAAAGAATTAGAAAAATTACATTCGAATGTTAAGCAATAATATAATATATCGGTATAGTTCACGAAACACAAACTAACAGTGTAACGTTACATCAATATTAGAATTTTTCACTCACAATAAATGTAATACAACACTTGTTGTACACAACAGTTACATTATTGAATAGGAAATTATTATATGTTTATGTAAAAAATATGTTGCTGTTAGTTTGTGTTCCGCGGAAATGTAATGATTTTGATAATCAATGAAGTTCTGAAAGTTGCCTTTGCAGTAGGCGAGGATATATAGATTTGGTATCGTCAATGTTGTCATTCAATGTGTTCATACCGTGAAAGCGCTTATAAACTAATAAATACGTATATTTATTTTTTTCGAATGCATATACATTTAACTTTAAATCCTTCGAAGTCCTCGTAATATTGCTAGATAATATCATACGTGTACATAGGATAACGCTTCTCGATCTCTAGATATTTCGTTAGATTGCTTAGATTGTTAGTACCTGTTAGTCGCACATAGTATAATTATGGACATGCGGCCGTCATATCGGAAATTGCAAAAGTGGCTCATAGAGTAACTTCGACCAAACTTTGCTTAACTTAATTGGATTAATTCAACTGGCAGAGAAAATGACTGCTCGAAACACAATATTCAACTGTATAATTTGTTTTAGTCTAATTGAATTTTTTGTTCCATTTTTAATGAAAAAAAAATCATATAAAATCTCATAATATTTTTAAGAATTTTTCATTTTTCTGCTTATAAAGATTTTTTTTAATATCTTACATTTCTTCAGAATTTGTAAGTTTTCTTCGGAAATTATAGAATTAAAAAATCATAGGATATGTGTGTAAAAAAATTCATTTATATAAACATTTCTTGAAAAGATAAAGACTTTCTCAGCATTTTAAAATGTTTCGAATAAATATCTAATGTAAGTGAGAAGTTTTTCCTAAAAGTTACAAAATTGTATAGAAATTCTGAAAAATTATATAAAAAATTCTAAAACAAATTATCATCAGAGTTGTGAACAAGAAAAGAATTCATATTATGAAACATGGATATTACTAGCTAAATTAAATATCGACTCAAAAGTGACGAAATTAATCGATAGAATTGCTTGAAGCAAAGTTCTTAACAATGAAAAATTAATAATTTTGTACATTTAAATATATAGACATTATTCTAATATATATAGACATTATTCATAATAAAAAATAATTATCGATTAAACTAATTGGAAAAATTACTTCATACAGTTTCTGTAACAATAAATAATTTCCTTTATTCTTTATTATCCTTTCTTCTTTACGTGTTAAACAATAAAAGGTTAATAATATCCATATTAATTAATTATTAAGTTAATCAAAGTTTGATTGGTCATTCATACTGCCGGTAGGGACCACCAATAAACGACTATCCCGAACAAATGTGAACAAAAAAAGTTACATTGGCCATTGCGTTGCAAATGCGTATAATTTATTATATATTATCTAATAACGGTAAATATATTCCCATACCATAAAAATCTGTACTATAGTGCAACGGTAGAAAAGTACTTATTTGTGTTCATTTTAATATAAAAGAAACGTTTGTACATAATATCAGGATTTTAACAAGCTATTTATCACTAAGATGTAATGAGCTTTAATAAAGATTTATTTTGTGCAACAATTTCATTTCCGTCACTTTTTTTATCTCGACTGGCTTCTTCATTCACAATTATTTATGCTATCAGATTTTCAATATCAGAAATATGATAAAATATTGATTATTACTGTGTACCTATGCTTCATGTACCTATTAAAAGAAGGTGATATCAAGTAGCCCGGCTAGCTCAGTCGGTAGAGCATGAGACTCTTAATCTCAGGGTCGTGGGTTCGAGCCCCACGTTGGGCGGAAATATTATTTTTTATTTTTTTATTTTGTAATAAGATTGTCGTTTATGATTACGAATTGTTAAATAGGATAGATAAAGATACTTGAATATTTTTAATAAATATAACAGAATACTATTGCATATCTCCTAAATTTGACGTTGTATAAAAGTGTTTCAAAAGTTGTATTATTCGAAGGGGCATAAATTAATTTTTCATGTCATTTTTTTATATAACTAGCATACAGCGCGCACCATTTATGTCTCTTTCATTAATTTTATAAATCACCAGCATCGACCAATCACGTACATGGGAAAAAGTCAACAATATCTTCGATTCAATCTTAATACATTTCGTGGTTCACATGAATTTTTTATTAGGGACATCTAATATAATTTATCTTGTATATAAATAATAAAATTCACTAAAAATAATGGAAAAATATATATATATTTACATAAAATATGTAGTACGTGTACTGAAAAACTTAGTACGTAAATAAAATAATGTAAATTAAAAATAGAAATAATAAAATTTTCCTTATAGAAGTAAGGACAATTAATTCACACTAGCAGAACGTGGTTTCGATCCACGGACCTCTGGGTTATGGGCCCAGCACGCTTCCACTGCGCCACTCTGCTTCTCACATAGAATTTCTGTCTAAATTCTTCATAATTCTATTAACACACACACACACACACACACTAAACTTTTGTATCTAAATTATATAATAATTTAATTATAATTTAATTTTTATCATTAAACTTATTAATACAATTAAATTAATTTAATACGTATAATACTTTTTATTATTATTTTTCAATTGTTTATAGTTTTAATTAAAAAATGTAAAATTGTTATTTTTTACCACCAAAAAAAAACTTCTCGAAAAATCTATTTCTAAAAATTCAAAATTTTTCAATAGAAGACATGTATTTAGGAAATATTGAAGAAACAAGAGCTCTTACGACAGAATATACATAAAAAAATTGTGAAAAGTATGATAAACATCGAACGTGAAATAACAACATTAAATTGATATAAGAAAATAACTTTGCAATAATCTCGCGCGTAATAAAAAGAAAACCTAAAAAAGACGTAGGATTTCTCAGATAATCCTCTTTTTGGACGCTTCACTTCTCCATTTTTAAAAAATTATTAGCTTTAATTCATTGTTTGCTGCACGTAGAAAGACACGGTCATTCTATTCTATAGAAAAACAATCGCCAACTGAAAGCAACCATCGGACGGAATTTCAAAAGACTTGTGAGTCTGAATCCTATCGGTAAGTATAAGTCACCTGCAGCTCCATGACTCACGGACTGTTGCGTTGAGACGACCAGGTGACGATTCAACGACGAGGCTTCAACGCGACTCAACAAGCACAAACCTGCACGGTTTAGTCTAACAATAAGCTAGTTGGGAATGCCTGGGGAATGCCCCGGGCACAACGGATGAACACGTGTGTGTATGTACGCATATTACTCGCCTCAACGCGGGACAATCGATAAAAAGACGCTAACAAAATCGCGACGGCTGCTCGCGAATGTAACGAACATACGTTAGATAGGTACGTCCTCCTTATACATACAACGTTATGGGAAACGTCAATAAGCGACGATGGATCCGCAGGTTATAGGATACAGAAGGATGTCATTGTGACCTAATTTTGTCAATTATAGGATGACAAATGAAGACACGATGATGTCCTTGGGTGTCATATTATTGTATTATGACTCCGCAGAACATAAACTGACAGTGTAACGTTTTGTGAGCATCAATATTATAATTTCCCACTTAATAATGCAACTGTTATGTACAATATGTGTTATACATATATATTATGTCCACATTATTGAGGAAAATTATAATATTGGTGTAACTATATATATACATTTGTTGTCAAATGAAATATATGTATTATACAAATATTTGCATGTCATTTTTATTTGTCAGATAAAAATTATTGTACAAGATGTTTTAAATATGCACTATTCTACTTTTAACCGAATTCGTTATTAATTTGTATTTTTTTCTCCAGGACTCTGTGTGAACAAATTGTATCGTTCTTTATACAACACAGAACACAGTTTAGAAAAACAATTTTCCAAAAGATAAATTTAAATATTCCGCGAAATATTAAAATTTTTCAATTTTAATGATGCAATTTTGATGTAATAATCTAATTGTACAGAGAAATAAAAGAGTATGTAGTTTTAAATTACATTTTTTCTCCTGCAGAATGTATATAAAATTACAAATTTTCAATTATGTTGTTATTGTAGTAAATGAGCGACAAATAATTCGCGAATGATATTCGCGCATGTCCGACTATACAAGCGCTTTTTACGCGGCTGTATTTTTATCATCACTCTATTGTGAAAAAAACGGCGGAACCGCAGATATCGAGATAGATATGATAAATTATAATCGATAGGAAAGTACGATTTGCGTCTCATTTTTGGCACAATTAGGAGACATTTTCGTTTGTCCATAAGAATTTGACCTTACAATTAGAGAAATTATACAACGATCTCTATTTTCCTTTGAGAATCGACCCGATGTCTAGATTCGCGCGCCCTTTACGCGAACACTTCGAATCCACACTCGACCAATAAGAACTGAATAACCGGAAATGTACGTTTGTTTATTTGTAGAGGGACAAGCCAATAAATATAAACGAATGATGCGATCGCATTTGTAATATTCATTTTACGCGAATTTCAACTTCAATAACGTTAAACACGAGCGTAAAAGAGACACGAGGTTACTTTAGATTATTTGTATAGTATATCACATGCTTATGGAAAATATAATAAGTAACGCATTAGTGTAGCCTTTTCCTCCTATCTCAGCCAATAAAGCAGAGATGGCGCTAGCAGTGCCGTTCGATACGCTTGCAACAGGAAGCCGAACTGGAAGACGATTATCGATTTACTCCATTAAGAACAATCTCAAAGTTCTCCTATTAGAATATTCTCCTGCAAAAGATTTTCTTTTCAACGAGAATTATTCACATCTGTTTCCTCAATCTTTTTGTCGCGATCGAACATTAATCGCCGCGTCGTGATACGTAGCTTGATTCAGTTTGATTCACGTAGTGCGACCTACAACAGTCGTCTGCGACGACCATCTTTTCTGAGAGAATGACGCAATCGATGACACCCGTCTCTCGCCCACCGTTCGATTTCACGAGACGGGTGTCTACACATGGCGACATTTCCGGGTGGCGATCATTCATTCTCCACGGTCCAGCCATCGAGATCGGAATGTCCGGATCAGCGACGTGGCGCTACTTTTCCCCAGGAGCGTCGCGCGCGCGCGCGTTTCCGCGGACTTTAATCTCGCGTGGGTCGAGCGAAAGTCGCCAGCTGGTGAGAGCTATTTTGAACGGCGCGATGCGACGTTGCCGTAGCCTCCGCGATCGCCGGGTACGTCGCGATCGAACGAGTTCAAGCACGTGTGCGCCTCTCCGTGTTTTGCTCGCTCGGCTTGGCGTCACTTCGACTCACTTGGCGTTGTACTTACAAGATAACACCGCACCGCGCGCACGCCTCAGCGAAACTACGGCCGCAACTTTTGCAACGCCGCCGCATTGTTTCGACAAGGATTTCAATCTCCCTCCGCACCGGTTGGAAACCATTATAGAGATCATGCGGGGAGAAAAACTCCGAAAACTCTAGTATAGGCTGTTCTAGATACGCTGGAATATCTCTGGAAATCGGCTGAGCTCGAGATTAGACATAAACGCGAGACACGTGATTCTCCGACGTTGAAAATCGCGGGAGCATTCTGGACAATTTTTCATTAAGCGCATAAGTCATCTCTCGCGACGATAATATCGTCCAATATCGTCCGACAAGAAGCTGGACAAGAAATATCGGGTTGCTACCTGCTCGCGGCGCGGAGTGACAGCGAGAGAGGGAGAGAGATTGAAGAGAAAGGAAGTGCGGCAACGTGGCATCTCCGTGGCTGCGTGAGCAGAGATGCGCGGGGCATGAATATACATACAGCGGAGTTTGACGAGCTAGCTGTAGCTAGCGCGTTGACGCCGTTGACGGGGAGGGGGAGGGGGACGCGGCGGAAAGTTTCCGCGGGGATGGAGACATCCGACCGACACGCAGCGGGGAAAGGGGAACGTGCGCGTTTGGTCGCCGCGTGCGATACGATACCACACCACCAAGGTAACACGCGTTCGGCGAGTAGATGCCTTTTGGAAATTTCACAAAACGCTCTCGTCTCGTCTCTCTAGTGTTGTTCTCTTCTTCGAGCGCTTCGCATCTGGCGTGCTAATGTTCACTTCTGTACCAATGTAGAGTAACTTGAATTTTAGTCTAATTTACTCTCTTTATCTTGACGCTTAAAAAGATTTTAAAAATATAAAAAAAGTAAGTTACCCCGAGATTGAAGTTATTCCACAAAAATAGATATAAAGAGAATAACGTGTATTTCTATCAATGTAGAGTGTAAACTTTAACACTATAAGTTTAATTTACTCCACCTTTTTCTAGTGTTTAGGAAAGGTAATAAGTTAGATAGAGATTAAAATTAATTTACATTGGTAGAAACAGAGGAGAATAATCATTCCTACTATATAACGTAGATTAATTTTTATCTTCGATTTAATTCACTCTTCATTTTTTCTAATGCTTCGAATTTTAGGAAAAGATGAGAGACCGAGATTAACATTAATCTATATTGTAGGTAGAAATGGACATAATACGTCTGATTTTAATCTTACACTTCTCGCATCATGTTTTTAACGAGAGAAATTATTCGAATAAAGTATCTCTGATTCTTCGACATTGTATCTCAATTTTTATTCTTCTCTCTTTGATGACTTACAATTAAATATTGTTAATATTCTATACATTTTTTTAGGTAAACATAAATGCAACGAACTTTTTTTTAATTGTGAAACAATTTACGCCACATAAATATAATATATGTATATAAGTAAATATGTGTACAAAGCACTCATTTCATAAGCCCACGCGGACATGTGAGTAATAAAGGGTTAATTCTTAACCTTAAACGTACCTCGCAACTCGAATCGAGTCGACTAGCGGCGCACTTCTGCATATTTGCTATCTCTTTGAGAAAAGACAAGATATACTTATACAATGTACATACACCTACATTTAAGAGAGAAAAAAGGTGGCCGAAAGGAATGGCTTTGCAGTTTTGACATCAGCCTAATTGAGAGATACCAGCAAAAGTTTGATCTGAAAGCCGATTCCTTTTTTCACCAATTCCTTTTTCATCCAAATATTTTGAATTACAAAGAAGAAAACAAAGAAATGGATTGCGACAAGTGAACTTATCGATAGGTGAGAGTGTTCTCTCGAGGGGCGACGCGCCTCGACGGTGATTCGAAATAAAGATCGAAAGCTATGCTTAATCGGTAGATAAATAATTATCGTGGGTAAATCAATTCTAAGAGATACGCGTATTGCGTGTATAATTTAATTTTTTTTTCTTCTTGATACAAAAATTGATTTATACCCAAGTAACGCAAAGTCCAAAATCGGACATAAGACTTATCTTATAAACGTTTTATTAACATATTTATTTAAAATATGTCCCAAATTTAAACTTTTGTTTTCTTAGATGGATCAATTGTTAAAAATTTTCACAACGAAACTATAAGTCAAACGTTTTTTCGTTTATCACTCTTTCTTCTGTTTTAAAAGTTTCGTCATTATCTATTTTACGAGGGCAAAAAGGCTGAAATGTATACGATAAGTGTCTCCAGAAATGTTGTTCTATTTGTCGTATACATACGAGTTGATGTTATTCCAAGTATTTGTCATTTGATGACATCATTATAATTTTTCCAAAATTTTTGATATACTTATCAAAAACTTATAACAATGTTATAATCAAAATAAGTGTATCGAATAATATAATTTTTCTAAAATAATTTTTACTTAATGTCACCTCGATTTCGTATTCCTATATTATTTATTTAGTATCCATTTCTCATCTTTTTCCAATTCTGGTTAGTTCCACAACTAACCATCATCTTGAAATTAGAAAGGATAAGAATTAAAAAAAAGAAATAGTAAATTAAACCGTGATTAAAGTTGATCTTATAGTTGTGGAACTAGGACTCAAAACTAGAAAAAGAAGAGTTAATTGAATTAACCAAGATTAAAATTGCTAAATTAGTAAAATGGACAGATTAATTTTTTTACCAACATAGAATAACTATTAATATAAGTTTATTAATCTCGATCTTCTTTTAATTCTTACGTCCCTTTGTACTAATTATTTAATTAACTTTTATCTTGGTTTAATTTACCTCGTATTTTTTGTAATATTTAAAACTAGAAGACACAAAATAAAAAGTACGTTAAAACGAGATAAAAAATGATACTGTTAAAATTGGACATAGGCGTGTCGTTGTAAACGAAATCTATAACGACCGCAAACTTCGCCAAGTTCAGAAACGTGCTCTTATCTCTCTTTGTCTATCTTTGGTGTAAAGCGCATTTCTAACTTGCAGTCTTCCCGCGACCAATTAGAGGCCCGCCAACAGGATATTCCCTCTCTAGTGTGGGGATGAAGCACGTGGCAGCGAAGTATGTAATTGGATACAATGGGAAATTGCGAGCGGGATTCGAAAGTATGTGTATTATCGTGAGACATGGGGCTTAAAGATGTAACGTAAAGGTCCGCATCGCGTGAGACTCCGTTCGCCAACGTCGACCGTCGATGACCGTCGATCGCGCGCGGCCGACTTTCAAGGCGATAAAACGGCGAAACGTACAAGCCGAATGAGCATGTAAGCTCGCGTTTCCAACCTTTGCTTTCGCCCGTGCCTCTCTCTCTCTCTCTCTCTCTCTCTCTTTCGTCGAGTCGTTACGAGGAAAATCGTCGACGGAACGCGGACCTAGTTCAGAATATGCCACCCGCGACCGACCGATCGGCGACCCACGACGATCGATCGCGAGCGGTATATTCGAAAACACGTACAGCACAGCGGGAGCGCGTGTGCATTCCAAAATCTTCCGCTCTAACCGTTTCTCGAGAATCATCGTCTAACATCGGCTATGCTCGTATCGGTGAAATCGTGGAACGAACGAGAAGGCGCGCGGAAAAAGAAAAAGAGACAGAGAGAAACGAGAGACGCGTGCGCATGAGTGTGTGTGAGGTCGAGAGCAGCGGGAAGAGAGGGACGCGTCTCCCCCTTCCTTCTCCCGCGCGTCTTCCATTCGTCCCCACCGCGTGATGCTTTACCGTCGACCGCAACGTCACCATTTCCCCCTCCTCCCCACCACGCCGCTCTATCACCCTCTCTCTCTCTCGTGCGCGCGCGCGCGCACGCGGAGTGGTGCGGCGCGCGCGGTCCTGCCCAGTAAATGCGAGGCTTCCGTTCGACGAGAGTGTACGTAGCGGTGAGAGAGTGCGTAATAAGCGCACTGTACACGCACGGTTTTTCGCACCTTGGCGACGTCGTCACTGTCACTGAACAGAATCGTACCCGGGCGTCGATATGCCGCTCAGCATCGGCGTTAATCTACGGGTGACCGGCCACTGTAATCAGGGCGGTCGCAAATACATGGAGGACATGTTCTGCGTGGCGTTCCAGCCGACACCGGACGACAAGGATCTGGAATACGCGTTCTTCGGGATCTTCGACGGTCACGGCGGCGGGGAAGCCGCGACCTTCGCCAAGGAACACTTAATGGACATTATAGTAAAGCAGAAAAACTTTTGGAGCGACCGCGACGAGGATGTGCTGCGGGCGATCAGGGACGGATACATGAACACTCATTATGCTATGTGGCGGGAGCTCGGTACGGAAAAATAGGATTATTGTATATATCGTTCTCGCTTGCGCGCACGACTATTACTTTTTGCTTTCGCGCGAATTTTAAATTCGTTGCCGTTGATAATCACCGCGTATACGATCCCTCTCGGCGGCGACGGTGACCCCCGTTGAGAATTTCTATCATCATCCCGCGTATTTCCCCCACCACCGTCGCTCTCCACCGCCGCCACTAGGCCTGATTAGGTTAGAATTTAGGTTATGTAATTCTTCGAGCTAACCTGAAAATTTAGGCTCGGGAGCGATGGGGAGTTAGTCGATGTAGCGATTTCTTATGTCGTCTCCCATAGCGAATCTGGACCGCGGCGACTTCCGCGGCGGTACCGTCGCGTGCGCGCGCGCGCGCGCGCGAACGCGTAAAGCGTAACGGGCGCGTCGACCTTGATCGCGGAAAACTTGCTGTAGTTTTGTTTTTTTATTGCTGCACTAAACTGCATCAGACTTTCTTTCTCGCTTTCGTCAAATTTCAAATGTTATAGATTCTGTTATGTTTATTCCTGCACTAAAACTTCCTTGTCTTATACAAATATCATATATGAGATTTGTCTTTTGTAGCTGAATTAGTTACATTCAAGGTCTGTTATCTTAGCTGAATTTTTCGTATAGTTTATCTTCCTTTTCTTTCTGCACTGAAGAAAAAAAAGAGAATAAAGTGTACCATACAAAAAGTTTAGCTAAAAAAACAAATGTTTTTAGGATATAAAATAAAGTGAACGTATGTTTGACATTTGGTAAAAGCGAACAAGTTATAGTGCAGGAATAAAAAACAAACTTTACATCTTACTTTAAATTCCAAAAGTATATACTAGTGCAGCTAGAAAAATAACGTATCCATATATCTATTTCACTTTAAATACAAAGACTGTATTTACCTATAAAAAGAACAGACCTTGGTACCTATTACAATAATATTTGGTGTTGTTTTCTGAGTAGACAAATGGCCGAGAACCGCATCTGGATTGCCATCTACAGCTGGTACAACTGCCAGCATTGCTTTTATAAGAAAAGGCAAGATATACATAGGTCACGTGGGAGATTCTGCTATTATATTAGGCTATCAGACAGATGACGATCCCCAATGGAGAGCAAAGGCACTGACGAAAGATCACAAGCCAGAGAGTGGGCCAGAAATGACGCGCATACAGGAGTCTGGTGGAAAAGTGGTCAGTAAATCCGGTGTTCCAAGGGTTGTATGGAATAGACCTCGCATTGGGCACAAAGGTCCAGTTAGAAGATCCACCCATATGGATGAAATCCCATTCCTTGCAGTAGCCAGATCTCTGGGTAAATATTTATCAACATCTTTTTGTAGATACAATCAATGATGCTACGAATGCTTGGAAGCATCTTTTGATTGGTTATTTAATGAAATTCTTTCTTCTGATTAGAGTCAGTCAAATACTTTGAAGCATTTATAGTGAAACTTTAATCTCATCTTGTCCAGCATTCTTGTGTACAAAAGAGCCTAAATTGAAATTTGTTTTAGGTGACTTATGGAGTTACAATTCCGAATTGAACACTTTTGTCGTCTCTCCTGAACCAGATGTGAAAGTTATTCCAGTTGACGTCAAATCACATCGTTGTCTTATTTTTGGTACTGATGGTCTATGGAATATGTTATCGCCACAAGTTGCAGTAGCTATTGTTCAAGCCACGGACAGACACAATGAGAAACATATGATAGCCTCTCAGCAGACCGGTAACGGAGTAAGTTTCGTGCGCGCGTGTTACATTATTAGTTATATATATATATATATATATATAATTATTAAAGAAACGGTACATTATAGTTGTCTTAATGCATGGTACGATAACTTACATATGACAGTGATGAGGTACATAAATCTTTTTGATAGCAGGCTGATTTACAAATGTGGATAAATCCTTCGAAAAGTCTTGTGGATCGTGCATTGGAGAGGTGGTCATCGACGAGATTACGAGCAGATAATACCAGTGTTGTAACATTGATGTTGGATCCATCAGGACCATGCCGCAGTGAGGTATGAATAATATTTGTTTTAAAGAAATCTAATATATATAAATAATTTTTATATAAATACTGACAGGAGTAAAGCGAAAAATTTAGGCTTTTAAACTTTGAGTAAATTAAAAAGTTGCAGGAAATCTAATACTATACTATAAAATTGTGTGTGTGTGTGTGTGTGTATAAAAATACTATAGCTAAGATATTTATTTTTATTAAAGGTACTCTTTAACCAAAAGAAGGACCGTGTTATACATCACGGACATCACGGAACACAAGTACCAGTTACGACGAGAGAACCTGAAATCGTCGAGGGAATGAATTCAAAAAATACAACGCCGTGCATGCCAATACCTCCGCCAAACGTTTCTTTAAATCTTGACATTGATTCTAAACAACCAGATTCGTCGAACGGAAATGAGAAGACTGTGGAGCAAACGTTACAGCCGGAGATGGTCTCGTGCCCTGAAAAACCAATTTTATTAGAGATTGATAATTCGGAATTACAAGAAGAAACGACGATAAACAAAAGTATCGAAACTACCGATATTGGCGAAAGTATCCAGGTCGCTGAAATCTCTTCTAGTCAGATGCTAGAAGAACCTGGGGATTTGGAAAGTAAGAAAGAAATAAAACACGAGAAATTGGAACATTTCGAGAATGAAGAAAAGCAAATAGTTGAACAGAATGAAAATGAGAAAGCAAAGAATGATTATTTGCAGAGTCCGATCCAATTAAATTTAAAATCAAATAAATTTATTGAGCCTAAAGAAAACGTAACTGAGACAGGAATGTCTAACGCGACTCGACAGAATACATTTCCCAGAGCGAACGAGGAGACGCTTCAACCTGCTCCTCTTGTAAGTAGGTTACGTCGAAGCGGTATTGTTTCTGTTAAAAGTAACAGTTTCGATAATAGTGAGGTGAAAAATGGCATCTTGAACGGATCGAGACACAAGCAGCACCCTTTATTTCCAAGAACGGACGTCAGAATGATAAAGCGACGACATAGTTTGAGCTCTTCTCAAACCCAGAATGCTTTCACCGATGTCACACCGGCTTCAGATTCGAAGACTTACGTAAGTGTGAAGTCGCGGTACAGCAGAGTAACGAAATCTGTTGCGGAAAACACAATGTTGGAGGAGACGACAAAGAATGCGTTGAAAACTGCTAGCGATTATGTCATAAATAATAAACGTAGACATAGCACAATCACGCAAGCCTCGGTCTCGTCGTCTGGAGTTGAGAACAATTGTCCACAGCAAGAACCATGTGCTAAGATGAGGACGCGTTCCGAGGACCAACGGCATAGTCCCACAGACGAGAATGATCCGGCCAATCAAGCGGTAGAAAATGCTAATGCCCGATTAAGTTGGCCCACGTCAGATAGACGATCGGATTCGTCATTGAATGGTGCCACTTTAACGACGCTCTCTTCGTCATCGAATACGTTTCAGCGTAGAAGTTTAGGCAAAAAGGCTACGCCTGTTAAAGCTATTAGGAGATCGTCGATCAACGGTTCGACTCGACTGCAACATCTAAGAGGTAGTTTTGGCCTAAGGGAATGGGACCAAGGAAGAAATAACCGAACAAATAATTGTAATAATAGAAGGACATTAAATAGGACAGTAACGATAATCGGTCCTACGGATTCGACGATACCACAGCGATGGTTAAGGTTTGTTTAATCATGTTTCTTTATTTAAGAAATTATTTTTCCGTGATATATTTATATCGTTCTTGTGTGATGATATTTATATAAGTGATATTTATTTTGTTTTATAATTAAATAGAGTATATTGTGCAGATTGTTAGACTAATGTAGAATGCATGAGCTTATTTATCCCCACTTACATGTTTAAACACCATATACTTTTATTAAATTCTGTAATTTTTTCTATTGTTTAGATCAGATACAATGGCGGCAACACCTGTGAAAACACTACGTTCGCGTAACGTAGATATCGCCGGACACACAATATCTGCGCAATTAGTTCATCAATATGGAGTAGTGAAGCAAAATCGATTGCCTCTACCAAACAAGTTGAAGCAGTCCGCGAACAGTGGATCGCTGCAATCGAGTAGAGTCAGGTCTTCCTCGTTGTCAGCCAATAAACTTAAACAAGCAAATGGTAACAGTGGAAGCGTGAGTACTTGCGCGACCATAAATCCCTCGACAGCAGGTTCCACTTCTGCTATATCTAAGAAAGTCAAATCACCGTATAATCCTAGTGCTCGGTCTCTGAGCACACGATCTCGAATCAAACGTCTTGGAAAGTAAGAGAATAATTAATGATTGGAGTTTTGCAAATTCGCGAAATTTAGGGTATGTACACTCTTACCCTTATTTTACTATCTGCGAATTATCTAGTTACGATATAAAAAAGAAAAGTGATTGTTACATGCATTTTATGTTTCTTTAAACTTTCCCACTTTCATCTTTGAAACTACGTATGTTCTTTTATTCGAGGTGTTTGCTATGAATGGGGTCTGAACACTATTAATTAATCTTATTACTCATTTCATTTTTGAAAATAGAATGAAAAATTAGAGATTTAAATTAAAATTAAGTATTTTCTATACAAGATTATTATTTTAGGTATGTGTAGAAATTTAAAAAATCGCGATCTAAATACTTCGCAAATACTTATGTTTTTGTGACAATTATTATTAATTTGTTGAATATATTACCTTGTATTTTGTTATTGGAATTATTTACTGACCTTTTATGTTCATACATGAAGTGCATATATCTAATTCATTTTATAATACTGCTTGCTGCATGGAAATAAATTGCTGCGCTCTCCTATTCTATTTATTAAATATACAATCATTAATTCCTCGGAAAAGGATACTGCGATGTGTGTAGAATGAACTAAAAGAAATTAAACTAGTCATTCTTGAAAGAGTAGTCAGTCTTGAAATCGTTATTCGCTATTTCTAAAGAAAGGTTAGATCGTTCTCATATTATTAAAGGCGAATATTAAATGCAAATTTGCAGAGTTCTTATGTTCAAATTGAGTCAATTGGCACTTTAGGAAGCACAGTTAAAGGACGATATGAAAAATATCGCGAGAAATTTCTAATAAAAGTATGACAAAAAATATTCCTGACACTTTTTATATGCTTTCCAATATTTGCGTAGATTAACAAGTCTCACGTAGGAAAAAATATGAAAGTATAATATATGAGTGTATGCATAAAGTAATCTGACAATAAGAAGGTACAGTTGTGTATAAAAACTTGGGTATCCGTATGCATATCTCACATTTGCACATTCTCAGTGATAACTATTGTTTGGAATCTTTACTGTCAATTGAATGGTGCAGCCAAACGTAGTAGGATATAATTGATTATCAAATGTAAATGTGCGGCTGTGCACACGTGTATTCTTAAAAAGAAATAATTTTCCCTTCTCTTCCTGACTCCGCTCGAAGTCTTGGTTCGGAAAGAATTCACAAGTCAAAAAGGCGCCGTATTTAGAAAATACTTATGATTAAGCATTAAATTATTTTCTAGTATGTACGATATGCAATCACACTGATCTGCCTTGGCTGAGTACGGAGTGGTTGTTGAACAATTCTGTAAATAGAACTCTAAAAATCAATATATATAGTTGAGAATAATTGGCAGCCTTCTATCACACACGTATATATATAAATTGTTGCATAGATAAATAGTGTATGAAAAAAAACGAATTTAAATTCATGTCTGGAGCAGAGGTTCCCAGGCGCATCATGGTCTCGAATAACGACCATTCAGTACGAAGCACTAAACGACTGTTTATTGTACGCGTTGTAAAAGATTAGATTATATTTAGATGGAATATTTAAAGCACAGCTTAAAAAGCAATCAAGGGAATTCAAATTTCTATCGGTACGAACAATTCTATAATTGTGTTCCAAATGCAAATGTGCACTATATTAGTGATCTAATAATTAAGTCACTGAAGATAAGAAAGATTTATATCTGATATATGTATCTGACATTAATATATATATTGTATTAATATCAGCATATAAAAAAAACAGTGTATATAATCTTCTATGTTAGTCTTTCACGTTGAGTGTATTCATTTTATCGTGCAAGGAGAAAGAAGGCAATTCAGGAATATCTATTTGGTTTTATTATAAAAATTACGCACAATGCGTTCATTTACATATTATGAATGTTTCTTCTCTGGTTTTAATTATTTTGCATCTAGATATCGAGAGAAAAATATTTTAAGACAGTTTGTGACAAGGATCAGTAATGAGTACATATACTTTTCGATATGTAGTCACTTTAGAATTTATACGTTTCTAAAGAAAAAAAAGAAGAGAAAATTATGTAAATACCGATGAAATATTGTAAAAAATGTTAACAATATATATTTATCGATATTATGCCTATTTATTGACTAGCTTTTAAAACGATCCGATTTTCTATGTAAATAAGATATCGTGCAGATAATATATGCTTGAAATATATCGTTTGGCAGTTTTCTTAGAGAGAAATTATCATTACGAGGTAGTTACTGCAAGACGACTTTATTAAAAACGAAAAAAACGGAGGAAAGGTGACGTGTGCCTACAGTAGTTACCACTTGCGAATAGTGTGCGTGCGCTAGATAAGGGATTATATCTCTGAGGATAAGTTTCAAAATAAGTTACGAAGGACAGATTCGAGTTACCGAAGAAAGAGACATATGTGCTAGTACGGCGAATATTTAAGGGAGATTTATTTACTCTTTGGTGCACCCATAAGTCTCACGCTGTATGTAAATAAATATAATTATATATACATATTATATATATAATTATATGTATATGTAATTATATGGGTGGTGTATATATGTGTGTATGTATATATATATATATATATACACATATAATATGTACGTATGTATATACATACAGAAATTGTATAGATAAATTTAAGTGATTATGATAACATTTACACAGCTCGATTTACGCTGAAGTAATATCAATATTTTAACTTCGGCGTAAATCAAAATTCGTGTAAACGTAAGTAGTCAGTGGCAAAGAGGAGCAAGGTGTCTCGATATAGCGTTCGTCTATTGAAATAAATTGCAGGGGAGGCGAATGTAAGAACGAATCTATCTTACGCGCCTGTAGATTTATCATTTGTTACATCGTAGAGATATGATGAAACCGAGTATTTTTTAAGAGGTAAAGAGAATATAAGAATTTATGACGTAAATCGAGAGATGAAGAGAGAACTGTTAGTGAGAAGAAATAATATATAGCGATTTATCTCAGGTTAAGTGAATTTTGGGAGGAGGAGAAGTAGATATCGAAGGAACTCGAACAAATGTGTGATCACGTTTATATAACCTGTATATTTTAATTAAATAAAAAAACTGAGATATAATATATATAAGTCCTATTATTAAATTGACGCTCATGACTGTTTCTGTGATCATTCTAGCTATAAGTATCTATCATAAAGGATTATTGGATTAATTAAATTATGTATCTTTTTAGTAATTTATTTGTGATAAGTATGTAAGAACCATGTATATTTTTTGTTCCAAACTTATTTTATTAATCTGAACTTTAATTCTTAAAATTATTTTGAATCAATTTTTTATTATATATAAATATAAAAATTTTTTATTATATATAAATATAAAAATTTTTTATTATATATTCGATTCCAATCTTCAGTTAATAAAAAAAAAGAATAATTATAATGAAAGATCGACATTTGGTAAATTTGAATTATGATTAATGGAAGCTTCCAATTGAAGAGTATCAATATTATCGACTGTTGGTGCGAACTCTCTAATTATACATTGCGCTTATAAAAAAATTATATAAATTTCCATGAGTTGTGTCAGTTGAGACGGTTGTTAATATTTTTTCAGTGTATGGGAGAATTCGTAATTTTTGGATTCATAACTATTTAATATTAACAGTTAAAACACTCGTCGCGAAATAAAGATCTCATTTTTAATTACACTTTATAAAGAGAGAGAGTAGTCAAGAGTAGTGGAGAATTTTATTTGTGTCTTGTGTCAGTTGATAGGTTATGGTTGGTTATGGTCAATTGGTCATGTAGGTACAAAGATCAATGCAATTGTAATATCTGAACATTGAAAGAGCTACGTAAATCCTGATTGACAGCGATGAAGTAATAATAATTTATAATAATATAAACAAGAATTTATGATATTGGACTGCTTCCTAACATAAAATTTGACAATACCATGGATGTAAACGAATGGGAGAACGATTCTGTAACTTCTCTTTCCAAGGATACTCCTGACAATAACATTGATGCAAGCAACGATGAAACGATTTCCGAATCATCGACGTTTGATGAGCAAAGCACTAAAAAGTTAGAAACGGAGGACGCGTCTTTTCGAAGTAACATAGACACCTGCAAAGAATTAGGATTTAAGAAGCCACTTCTACTGATCGGTCCTAAGCGGGGTAAGACTGGAAAAATTCGAACTATAAAAAATGATACAGCACACCCACCATCTGAATTGTCCGTAAATAAGGAAACTATCGAGCCTGTTCAACCCCAGGATGACGAAGATAAAAGCTATAAGTCAATAATAGAAGATTCCACAGAAGAGAATATCTCGTCTGATACAAGAAACATTCCTATACCATACTTGGAACCTAAGTGGAGTGGAAAGCCAATCGAGGAATATAAGTTGGAGGTTCTTAAGTCAGGAATAATTCTAGAAAAACTTGATCTAACTGAAAAAAGTTTTCACGTGATAGGCAGATTGCCTTCCTGCAATTTATCTCTTGCCCATCCGACTATCTCAAGGTACCATGCAATTATTCAATACAGAGCAACAGCAGATGAAAAGAGCTCTATAGGTTTTTATTTGTACGATTTGGAGAGTACACATGGCACGTTTTGGAACGGGCATCGTATAAAACCAAGAACCTATGTTCGGTTATATGATGGTCATATGATAAGGTTTGGTTGTAGCCAGAGGAAATATATTCTGCAAGCTCCACCGGACGATCAGGAAGAGGAATCCGAGCTGTCAGTTACACAACTTAAAGTTAGTTTTATTTATAATTACATGTAATGTAAGAGCTTGTTGTAATCAATTTTATATACATTTTACTATAATCAGTATTGTTAGAACCAGTTTTTAATATTTTTAATATTTTACTGTAACTGGTGCGCTTGTAATCAGTATTGTATATATTTTACTATAATTGATATTATCATTGTGTAATATTTTGATATAATTGCAACTTTTGGCATCCTTTTGCAAAGCAAGACTTTCAAACATATTTAATATAAACATATTTGTTTATAGGAAAAGCGATTAGAAGAATTACGGGAACGAGAAATGAGACAGCAAGAAGAGGAAGAAGAAGAAGCAGAAGAAAGAGCAAAACAGGAAGCAAAGAATGAGGGTATCGATTGGGGAATGGGAGAAGACGCGGATGAGGAAACAGATTTGACAGAGAATCCCTATGCTTCTATGGCAGATGAAGAGCTATATTTAGACGATCCCAAGAAAACATTAAGAGGCTGGTTCGAAAGAGAGGGATATGATTTGCAATATCAAGTAGAAGAGAAAGGAATAGGTCAATTTTTATGTTGGATAAGGTAGTTTATATGATTTTTTTAAAATCCTTGTATGTAGAGTTACTTTTAGGATTATACTTGCGCATATCATATTTTGACTTATTGCTTTTCTCTCTTTTTTTTATTAATATAAAAATAAAAACAATTTCAGTTTACCTAAAGAATGTTTCGGCGGCCGTTCCATGAAAGCAGAAGCTCTTGTCAAAGGAAAGAAAAAAGAATCTGTTATTCAATGTGCTTTGGAAGCCTGTAGAATTTTAGACAGACATGGATTGTTGAGACAAGCTAATCATGGTAACATATAATATGAATAAATGATAATAACTGTTGATAAATGCAAACTTTACTTTTAATTATTGATAATTATTAATTAGAGAGTCGAAGAAAGAAAGCAAGGAATTGGGAGGAGGAAGATTTCTATGATTCAGACGAAGATAACTTTTTGGACAGAACAGGAACAGTAGAGAAGAAACGTGAACAGAGAATGAAATTAGCTGGAAAAATTGAAGAAAAAGTTGAGACATATAGCTCATTGGTAATGCCATTTTGTTCATTCACATTTATATCTTCGTATATTATAAATATATCTTTAACATTTATTGATATTTCATTGATATTATTTCAGACTAAGAAGCATAATGAGATTTTGAACAAAATTTCACGTTTGAATGAACGCTTAAAAGAAGCGCAAAGAAAAAATGCTAAAACGGGAGAATCTAATGAGGATTCGTTGGATGCCTTTATGTCTAGTTTAAACACATCTACTTTGAGTAAAAGCGACATAACGAAAATGAAAGTGGAATTACAAAATTTGCGTAAAGAAGAAATGCAACTTGTTAAATTAGTAAATCTTACAAAACCAGCTAATTTGCCGCCTCTTGTCAGTCAAGTGCAAGTAGAAGATAGAAGAGACGGCAAAAATCTTCAACAAAAATCAAAATATTCTATGAAAAAGATTTCGCAACTTGAAAGAAGACAAAAGCTTTTTGAAGCAAATGTGAGCATTTTTTTATTTTACTTTTTATGTAAAAATATTTTATTTTGTTATTTATGATTTAAAAAACAATTATATTTTTTAGAACAAAAGCGATTCTACGAATTCATCTTCATATACTATGGATAATGAAGGTGAAGAAGAAGAAGAAGAAGAAGAAGAAGAAGAAGAAGAAGATGAACAAGAAGAAAATAAAAAAGATAACATAAGAATGAAAGAAGAAGAAGAAGAAGAAGATGCGAGTGTACATAAGTCCGAATGTAAAAAATCTACGTTCTATAAGGATGAAACAAAATCAAGTGAAACCATAAGAACCGATGATAAATCATGTATTATGAGAAGCGTCAATCAGGAAACGAAAAAACTAAACATTGCGGAAAAGCGAAAAAAGGACACTAAATCAGAGAAACGGAAAAATATGAAAAAGCAGTACGATCAAGACGTCCACTCTGAAGATTATTCTACGTGGGTACCGCCACAAGATCAATCCGGTGATGGGAGGACAAATCTTAATGATAAATATGGATATTGAATTAGCTCTTGCATTATATACATAAGAATAAACAATGTAAATATTCTGGATCAAGAATTTAACATTATACGTATTATAAAGAGGCTATTTATTTTTTACACCTAAATAAAATTGTGTATTATCACTAGAAATATATTAACACTAGAAGTACCAACTTACTAAAACAACCAAATAAACAAATTACTATAAAATTAAAAATATGGTGAAAAAAAATCAAATATTTCTTTAATGTAAAGTATTATTGAAAAGTAAACAAAAGTAAGTAAACAAAAAATTAGAATCCCATCTTTTACACGAAGAAAATGTAATATTAATAATTAAAAAAAAATAGAATACCTCAACAATGATCGCTTAGCACATCTAATGTTAAATTATGAAACAGACATAAATATTTTGATCTATATCAGGTCATTACTAATATTAAACGAAGTGGCAATTGCTGTAATTTAATTTAAAACGTATAGTTTGTCATTATATATGAGTTTTATTGTTTATTAATTTTAGTATCTCAAATAGCTTTTACCGCTTTTACTGATAGCAGAGAGAGAGAGAGAGAGAGAGAGAGAGAGAGAGAGACACCTGAGAGCAGGCCTTTATTCTGTAATTCGACGATACGATTTTATCGGTAAAAATGAACGTGATAGTACGTAGTTTCTGCAGTTCGAAAATGGACATTCGTGTCGCTAGTGTACGGGGGTTAGAAGCATTAAGCGGGGAGCACAGACTTTTGCATAACGCATAAACCATATACATAAAGAATTTGATTGGTCCATTGACTCATGCTTAAGAAAATGGACCAATGAAATTTCTTATGCACATGCTTTATGCGTTATGCAAAAGTCTGTGCTCCCCGCTTTACAGTACAGAAAAAAGGCCGGAATGGTTACTCTCTCAGATTTCTCTTGGTTTCTCTCTGGCCACTAAACTTTGTCGAAGGCTGATAATTGTATTGTAGATTGCGAATCGAGTCGTGACATGTCAGTGACATGTATGTTAATGTCTTGGAAAATTTTGCCTTGAACACCTAAAGAAGTATGGAGCACGTTGATAATCCGAGCTATCTCCAAACGAGTATGTATCACCTGCATATATACTGATTAATATTCTTATATTTACATTTGTGTCATTGCTAGTTTCTCTTCCTGCTTTCTGAAGTAAACGTCATGCTCACGAATTACAGCGTCTTTTGCATTGCAGTTTGGGCTCCGATAGCTTCTGTGGGATGGTACCTCATAGGACTTGGAATCATTGCGTTGTATACGTTTCCACATATCCAAGAAAAATTTAAAAGTTGGAAAGTTGCGAGGAACCAGCGAGATGCCGTACTTGGCAAAAGTGAGTTAATAATTTATTTCAAAATCCTTTATTAGTGGGCAACAAATAATTTACAATATTATTTGCAACATAATGTATATAATTTATTTCACCTTTGTATTAATCAACCTTTGTATTAATATGTATTGTATTAATATTTAGAAACTGATGAATTACCACAGTTGTCAGCTAATGTTGAATTGGCACGACAGAAGATGCAAGAAGCATACGACAAGACTCGTGTCTTGGCACTAATCAAAGAGGAAGAGGTACTTTTGTTATACATTATATTAAGTACTCCAGGAATAATCATTTGTGTGAATATTTACACTTTGACAGAAAATTGTTTAACATATTTTTTTCTTTTTTACCATCTGTTTTTGATGAATCTTTAAGTTACAATTCTATCGAAAACTCGCAATAAAAAAGCGTTATTAAAATAAAAAATCTTTGTTTTTTAGAAGCACTGCCATAATAAAAAACACTATATGATAGTGTACAAAAATCAGATAACTATTTCTTAGTCAAGATAACTTATTTTTATACTTACATTTTTTAAATATAAATTAAAGCAATCTATCTTTTGTTCACAGGAGAAAGAGAAAAAAAGACAAAAGGTCTTGAAATTGTTGGAAAATAAAAACGTGGGTACAAGACTCGGTAGTACAACCGATGATGAAACTCCTAGTACGAGTACAAAGTCAAAGTTAAAATCAGGTAAAACTTATGTTATATTGTAATTTGGAAATCTCCAAGGAAAATTTAAATAATATGCTATATCCATATTTTTCATTTCTTTAATTTTCAGAATATAATCCCTTAATGGGTGATAGTACTCGTGGATATCGTCCTCCAAAACGGAGCTGTTGTAAAAAAGGTGGATGTGGTTAAAAATAATCGTATAGAATCTCGTAAGAAAACCATTCCATTCTTGCAATTTAACAAAGTTGTCAAAATAAAGAGGGAAGTAACTTATGGAATCGAACAGCACCTACTTGAATTGCGGTACTTATAACTTACACAGGTTTATAAGATTGTAAAAAAATTATGCATGTGCAATTGTTATATCAACATTAATTCATAACATGTACAATTTTTAAGTTTTATAGTAAAATATATATATATATATATATATATGGCAAAATCGATTTTATTTATCAAATCAATATAAATTTTGTATATTTTCGTTTTTCTACTTTAGTAGTTCTATAGTAAAATTATACATATATATTATTTAAAAATGAATGCGTATCTACGGGAAACAATAAAGGATATCAAAGGATAAAATTCTAAATAAAGGCGCTTGTATTTTCTCACACGCCCAGGCTCTTTAATTTTCAACATTACCTTTTATTAATCGTTATCGATATAATATGCAATGATATATATCAGCATACGTCGCTTTATACGTGTATGTACGTGGTACTTGACAATAGCAATTGTTACAAATTATCTACAGTCGTGCGCGTGTGTATCTATGTGTATGTATATGTGTGTAACGTGTGTCTCTGTAGTATGCACGCTCCTATTTTACTCTTAATTTCTTAAATTTCATCGACTTTACTCGTACGACGGCGGTCGGCGAAGAGAAACGAGCGGCATATCTCTCTTCAGTAGTAAATAAATTATAAAATTAACTATATAAAAATGCTCACCATCTTTATTTATTCGCTGTATTTACAGAATATAAAAAGGAAAGCTTGAGCTAAATACGCGTCTCCACAGGCCTCAGTGCACGTGTACATACATGCGTCTATATAATTACACGCGTGCGGCCCGTAAAACGCAGTTCAGAGAAAGAGAGAGAGAGAGAGAGAGAGAGAGAGAGAGAGACAAATAGGAAACGGCTGTCGCTTTTTTCTCTCTTTCTCTCACATTGCCTCCAATTCGAAATCACTATATTTCGTGTTCTTAATGATATGAATTATTTTTACGTAGCTTTAGCTCTCTAACGGTCTACTTAATTCTTTAAGCGCGATCCAGGACCAGCTTGCACCAATGTCGATCGATCGAATGCTATTCTGACACAATGAACTTTTCTATTTTGCGTTAAATGGGGTCTCCCAGAAAATTATATTAAGAACACTTTAACGAATTCATGGAATTGACTTTCCTCTCGGGAGAAATAACGAGGAAAGTTTCGTTCTTAACGTTGAATTTCTTGGCAGTTTCATTAAAAAATATGATTCTATTATTTATTTGACTAATACACATCAGAATGTAGAACTTGGTTAAAAAAGTTGATTCCAAATTTTCATCGATATATCTTTAAAATATTTTCCAATACAGATCCCGAATATCTGGACTTTCGGAAAAAATGCATCGATCAGTTCGATTGGTGCAACTAGCAGTCTTCATCGTTGCATTCGGCGGCCTTGGCAACACCAAGTTTAAAGTCCGGAGAGCGTTTTTCGCAAAAGCGGCAAACTTTGTCTCGATATTGCTACCAGATATGATGTTAAAAATCGAAAAATTTCGCCCTAACGTCAATACAATCGTTTCCCCATCTGCATAACGATCGATGGCAGTTTTAACAAATAGGTCGGTTTGATCATGTTTATTACGCGTGTTCACGAATTCGAGTCTGAATATCGATCATGTAACTTTTTCTCTAGGGCGGAACAGAAAAAATTTTACGTATGTATATACATATAAACACATACATAAAAAAAATTTCACTTTTCATATTTCCGTCTTAAGGGAAAAGTTATATGATTGAGATTTTCCGAGCACAAATATTGTTACAACTGTTTCCGACAGTCATAAGTCAACTTCATTTACCATATTGCTTATTATTATTAATGATATAGAATCCTCAATTTCAATTAAAGACTTTGTTCTAAAAGTTACTACCAGCGCAAAATTCTATAAGTTACGTGTACTATAATACATTTTCAGCACCAGCAGTGAATTTTTGTAACACGCAGTCAAGAGTAACGTTGTGATTACAAAAGTCTGATGCAACGTGGAAAAATTTCGCTGAAATTATTCCACGTTTTCGAACACTTTTTGATTTGCGACATTTCAGAGAAATTTTCATTCAATTTCAGCGAATTTTCAGTTATGTTAGCTAAAAAACGTACTTTTAGTAAAATTTTTCCACCAAAGATGCAATTGATACAACATACGTCGATCCTTGTGCGTTAACTTATAAGTGTCAGAATCAATTACGACAATTTTTGTGTTGAGAGCCTGATCTGTTCGATAAACTTATCACGTGTTTGGGGGATGTATATGATATATTTCGTTTCGTGTGTGTAGCGTGTTAATCATGTGTTCGTGTTGAATGTCGTTTACGCGAATCGCGCTTTTTTTTTATTTTTTTTTTTTAAGTTAAACGTTACTGTGTTTTATACAAGTTCTCTCAACCATCGTAACAATAATACAAAGATGACAAATTATAAAAATAATACGTTATCTTTTTTATATATATATATATATATATATATGGCAAAATCGATTTTATTTATCAAATCAATATAAATTTTGTATATTTTCGTTTTTCTACTTTAGTAGTTCTATAGTAAAATTATACATATATATTATTTAAAAATGAATGCGTATCTACGGGAAACAATAAAGGATATCAAAGGATAAAATTCTAAATAAAGGCGCTTGTATTTTCTCACACGCCCAGGCTCTTTAATTTTCAACATTACCTTTTATTAATCGTTATCGATATAATATGCAATGATATATATCAGCATACGTCGCTTTATACGTGTATGTACGTGGTACTTGACAATAGCAATTGTTACAAATTATCTACAGTCGTGCGCGTGTGTATCTATGTGTATGTATATGTGTGTAACGTGTGTCTCTGTAGTATGCACGCTCCTATTTTACTCTTAATTTCTTAAATTTCATCGACTTTACTCGTACGACGGCGGTCGGCGAAGAGAAACGAGCGGCATATCTCTCTTCAGTAGTAAATAAATTATAAAATTAACTATATAAAAATGCTCACCATCTTTATTTATTCGCTGTATTTACAGAATATAAAAAGGAAAGCTTGAGCTAAATACGCGTCTCCACAGGCCTCAGTGCACGTGTACATACATGCGTCTATATAATTACACGCGTGCGGCCCGTAAAACGCAGTTCAGAGAAAGAGAGAGAGAGAGAGAGAGAGAGAGAGAGAGAGACAAATAGGAAACGGCTGTCGCTTTTTTCTCTCTTTCTCTCACATTGCCTCCAATTCGAAATCACTATATTTCGTGTTCTTAATGATATGAATTATTTTTACGTAGCTTTAGCTCTCTAACGGTCTACTTAATTCTTTAAGCGCGATCCAGGACCAGCTTGCACCAATGTCGATCGATCGAATGCTATTCTGACACAATGAACTTTTCTATTTTGCGTTAAATGGGGTCTCCCAGAAAATTATATTAAGAACACTTTAACGAATTCATGGAATTGACTTTCCTCTCGGGAGAAATAACGAGGAAAGTTTCGTTCTTAACGTTGAATTTCTTGGCAGTTTCATTAAAAAATATGATTCTATTATTTATTTGACTAATACACATTAGAATGTAGAACTTGGTTAAAAAAGTTGATTCCAAATTTTCATCGATATATCTTTAAAATATTTTCCAATACAGATCCCGAATATCTGGACTTTCGGAAAAAATGCATCGATCAGTTCGATTGGTGCAACTAGCAGTCTTCATCGTTGCATTCGGCGGCCTTGGCAACACCAAGTTTAAAGTCCGGAGAGCGTTTTTCGCAAAAGCGGCAAACTTTGTCTCGATATTGCTACCAGATATGATGTTAAAAATCGAAAAATTTCGCCCTAACGTCAATACAATCGTTTCCCCATCTGCATAATGATCGATGGCAGTTTTAACAAATAGGTCGGTTTGATCATGTTTATTACGCGTGTTCACGAATTCGAGTCTGAATATCGATCATGTAACTTTTTCTCTAGGGCGGAACAGAAAAAATTTTACGTATGTATATACATATAAACACATACATAAAAAAAATTTCACTTTTCATATTTCCGTCTTAAGGGAAAAGTTATATGATTGAGATTTTCCGAGCACAAATATTGTTACAACTGTTTCCGACAGTCATAAGTCAACTTCATTTACCATATTGCTTATTATTATTAATGATATAGAATCCTCAATTTCAATTAAAGACTTTGTTCTAAAAGTTACTACCAGCGCAAAATTCTATAAGTTACGTGTACTATAATACATTTTCAGCACCAGCAGTGAATTTTTGTAACACGCAGTCAAGAGTAACGTTGTGATTACAAAAGTCTGATGCAACGTGGAAAAATTTCGCTGAAATTATTCCACGTTTTCGAACACTTTTTGATTTGCGACATTTCAGAGAAATTTTCATTCAATTTCAGCGAATTTTCAGTTATGTTAGCTAAAAAACGTACTTTTAGTAAAATTTTTCCACCAAAGATGCAATTGATACAACATACGTCGATCCTTGTGCGTTAACTTATAAGTGTCAGAATCAATTACGACAATTTTTGTGTTGAGAGCCTGATCTGTTCGATAAACTTATCACGTGTTTGGGGGATGTATATGATATATTTCGTTTCGTGTGTGTAGCGTGTTAATCATGTGTTCGTGTTGAATGTCGTTTACGCGAATCGCGCTTTTTTTTTATTTTTTTTTTTTAAGTTAAACGTTACTGTGTTTTATACAAGTTCTCTCAACCATCGTAACAATAATACAAAGATGACAAATTATAAAAATAATACGTTATCTTTTTTTTCTTTCATTCCTTCGCGCATTGATACGATGGTTTGGCAGCGTGTTTGTTGGCTGAATCACGATCATTTAGGATTGGAGATACGGTGCTTTCCGAAAGGGTCACGATTCTGTAGCCTTCGAAGAAATATATGTATATCAGTCTGTGCACGTAATATACCCTTTCCTTCGATAATACGCGGCTACATCTCGCCGGTCCAAGCTCGCGCGCATCAATTTGGAAGGTGCGGATCCACTGCTCGTTTCATTAAACGCAGCTCGCAGGTATAAACGATATACTATTA